ACTAACAGCACGTCTTCAATGTTTTATTTTAGACTCGTAAAGAATGTGAAGAGAAATATCAAAATTCACCCCGAGGATCTTGTTATTGTTATTGTACACCTGCTTTTGGATGTTATCTTCAACATTTTCAAGTTAAACCTGGTGTATCATTAGATAAAGGGACTGGATTAATTCAAGGAAAACATCAAGGTGTACATAATTATGATTACTATATTGAAGTTAATGTTATGAATAATGCTAAATTATATTCGACACTCACATACAAGGTACGTAGAATTTACAATTTCATCACATATACTAAACACATTAGATGCAGTGGTGTTTTTAGGAAACGTCAGTGAGTGGGCCGAGCAGGGGCCACACAATTTTTCAGGGGGACACAGACCACTGTTTCACAATCTAAAAATGATAAAAGTATAATATAAATATTGCAATATAAATATATAAATCGTTAACAGGAACGCAATAAAAAATCTAAAACAGAAAGAAGCAAGCCCGCCAATTATATTTACCACGTGAACATAATTTTGAAATTATCTTTTCAGATCACCATTGATACAAGTCCACCACATGTTGGTGTTGTACATGATGGTAGATATGATGAACCGGAAGTAGATTACCAACCAGACAGAAATCTACAAGCACATTGGGAAGGATTTTCTGATAAAGAAAGTGGTGTGAGATATTATCACTATGGTTTTTCTACTAGATGTTTAACTGCTGAAGACTTTCATTTTGAAATCCGGAACACTCTAGTACGATTCTTAAAATATATCATGTTACTAATTTATCTTTGTTACTAACAAAAACTACACATTCGGTTTGAAATCATGACAGCATGCCGACTAGATTCAAATGCATTTGGAATTGCTTTCGTCATTCTTTTTACTAATTATAACATTAAGGTAAGATAAATAAAAAATATATGTAAAAAAAACAAACACTGGTAACGAAATTGATAGAAGTTTGGAGTATTTAATATCATTTCAATGTTTATTAAAGGGAACCAAACTTCAACCTTGTGATGATTTTACGTTAACTATGAGTATTTATTTTTCAGGATATACATGAATCATCAGTAACCCATGCTACCTGGTTAGCACCTACAGATGGACAGTATTATATCACAGTTGTAGCCTATAACGCAGCTATACAACCCTCTCAACCTGTATGTTCTGATGGTGTTGTAATAGATTCAACGCAACCTTAGTAGTAAGACGGGTACTTTGTAAATAGAACGATATAATTAGTTAAGCAAGTAATTTGGGAACAATGGAAATCATTAATAAATAGAACAAAGGAATGCCGGCGAACGAAGGACTCGAAAACAATGGTGCAAAAAGAACAAATAATCTTGGAAGTGAGGCAATGCGATGCCAATATTGGTAAATGTGCGTGCGTCGTTTTATAACAGATGTCGGATTTATTATGGTTATTTTTTTTTTATTGTAACAGTAATTTATAGTCTTGAACTATAATTTTTTTTATACATCCATTTAATTCAAGTGGTGACATGTGTCCTTTTGTTCGTAGAACATCTCATGCCAATTCACACTCTACATGTGTGCCGTGGAAAAGAATATACCTAATATTCATTTTTTGTAAAACATATATGAAATATATTTTCTTCGATATAATGATAAAAAAAACTTAAAACAAAAGTTGTACCAATCCTTCAACCCTCATTATATGTTGTTATTGAAATAGACGGTAGGGTGGGTAAATCTGTGAAATCTAGAGCCATGAAACAAGGATTCTGACATTTAGGAAAGTTGAATATCTGAAAATAGACTCGATAATGGAATTATTAAAACCTTTGTTGGTAGTAGTATGTGTACATTACCTTATGCCATTTACCTGTTTACCAAAAAATTTTTTTACCAAATTGAACATCCAATGTATGTACACTACACCCCCTTTTACCATATGCCGACTTACCATTTCATATACTAAAAACCTAAACACCCTTCATTTCATAAATTCTTACACTTAAAAAGACCTAAACTCCCTATAAATTATTACACCCTAAACTCCCTACATTTCTTACACTAAAAACACCTTCAATCAATTTCCTACATTTCATCAAAAAAAAGCATATTAAAAATACCCTTATATAAAAATAACAACATTTTTTAATAGCCTCGTTTTAAGTAATATTATTTTTAAGGGAGATAACTCTTTTTTGGAAACACAATTTCTTCGTTAAATTAACTCATTTAAAAATAGGATGAGTTTAATTCTAAAACACGAACAACACAGATTCGAAGATTATTCGGGCGACGGTATCTATATTCACACTCTGCATGTGTGCCGTGGAAAAGAATATACCTAATATTCATTTTTTGTAAAACATATATGAAATATATTTTCTTCGATATAATGATAAAAAAAACTTAAAACAAAAGTTGTACCAATCCTTCAACCCTCATTATATGTTGTTATTGAAATAGACGGTAGGGTGGGTAAATCTGTGAAATCTAGAGCCATGAAACAAGGATTCTGACAAATAGGAAAGTTGAATATCTGAAAATAGACTCGATAATGGAATTATTAAAACCTTTGTTGGTAGTAGTATGTGTACATTAACTTACGCCATTTTACGATTTACCGGTTTACCAAAAATTTTTTTTTACCAAATTGAACATCCAATGTATGTACACTACACCCCCTTTTAGCATATGCCGACTTACCATTTCATATACTAAAAACCTAGACACCCTTCATTTCATAAATTCTTACACTTAAAAAGACCTAAACTCCCTATAAATTATTTCACCCTAAACTCCCTACATTTCTTACACTAAAAACACCTTCAATCAATTTCCTACATTCCATCAAAAAAAAGCATATTAAAAATACCCTTATATAAAAATAACATAACATTTTTTAATAGCCTCGTTTTAAGTAATATTATTTTTAAGGGAGATAACTCTTTTTGGAAACACAATTTCTTCGTTAAATTAACTCATTTAAAAATAGGATGAGTTTAATTCTAAAACACGAACAACACAGATTCGAAGATTATTCGGGCGACGGTATCCTTTCTTCATTATTTTCTCTAGTTAAAACAATAGTTCATTTCAACCGGAGCGAAAGCCGTCGGCTCAATTGCGCAAGCCGGAAAGAGTATAAGCGACGCAGTGAAACAATCTGACGAGTTGAAAGAATTACAACTAATAAGAGATCTGCGAAACAGGAGATTAGAAGAAAGGAAAGGAAAAGGTTTTAAAGTTATAGGATAAAAATGATAGTCGCTCACGCTCCAAAAACTTATTTCGGTTCAGGAGATATACAAAAATCATTGGGTTCTCTTCCTGGATTTCCATGGGCGAAATATCCCGGAGAAAAACATCTTCCCGGTCATAATTACACTGGTCCAGGTACTAGGTTAGATCTGCGATTAGACGAAAACGATAAACCAGGGGAAGAATCAGTCAATAGAGTTGACGCCGCTGCGACATACTATACAGAAACAAAGACAGACAAATGATAATCGAA